ATTGATTTGAGTTTCATTGTGCTGCGGTCAGAAAAGATGCATGATATGACTTTTACCTTTTTTTTTTTTTAATTTTTTTTCAACGTTTTTATTTATTTTTGGGACAGAGAGAGACAGATCATGAACGGGGAGGGGCAGAGAGAGAGGGAGACACAGAATCGGAAACAGGCTCCAGGCTCCGAGCCATCAGCCCAGAGCCTGACGCGGGGCTCGAACTCACGGACCGCGAGATCGTGACCTGGCTGAAGTCCGACGCTTAACCGACTGCGCCACCCAGGCGCCCCGACTTTTACCTTTTTAAACTTATTGAGTCTTTTTTGTGGCCTAGCATGTGATCTATTCTGGAAAATGTTTGGGATGTGCACTTGAAAAGAATGTGTATTCCACTGTTTTAGGTAGGTATGATCTATTAGGTGCATCAGGTCCAGTGTGTCATTGAAAGCCATTGTTTCCTTGTTAATTTTCTGTTTGGATGATCTATCCATTGATATAAGTGGGGTGTTAATGTCTCATACTATTATTGTATTACTGTCAGTTTGTATACATCTGTCAATAGTTGCTTTTTCTATTTAGGAAGTCCTATATTGGGTGCATAAATTTTTACAATTGTTATATCCTCTTGTTGGATTGCTCTCTATCATATAGTATTCTTCTTTCTCTCTTGTTACAATCTTGTAAGTCTGTTTTGTCTGATAGAAGTATTGGTGTCTGAGTTTCCTTTTTGCTTCCATTTGCATGACAAATGTTTTCCATCCCTCTACTTTCAATCTGCGAGAGTCTTTAGGTCTGAAATGAGTCTCCTTCAGGCAGCATTGCTTTTTTATCCATTGAGTCATCCAATGTCTTTTGATTGGAGCATTTAGTCCATTTATATTCAAAGTAATTATTAATAGGTATATACTTATTGCCATTTTGTTACTTGTTTTATGTGGGGTTTTTTAAGTTCCTTTCTGTTCCTTTTTTCTCTTTCTCTTCGTGGTTTGATGGCTTTATTTGGTGATATGATTGGATTCCTTTATTTATTCATTTTTTGTATCTATTATAGGTTTTTGATTTGTGGGTACCATTAGATTCATATATAACATCTTATGAATATAGCAGTCTATATTAAGTTCATAGTCACTTAAGTATAAAACCATTCTAAACCTCCAGTTTTTTTTATTCTTTCTCTGCAAAATTTTACCCTGCATCTCCTCTGTTTTTTCCTGTTTCAGAAATGGCAATTCTACTACTCTAGTACCTTAAGTCTAAAACTGTGGGGTCATCCTTGGCTCTTCTTTTTCATACCACTTTTCTAATCAATCTGATGATTCTGTCAGCTATTCTTTTGAAATGTATTCAGAATCCGACCACTTTCTAACCACTCACATGTCCCCACTCTGGTATAAACCAACATTATCTATTTCCTGGATTATTGGTATACTTCCCTAACAGGTATTTCTGCTTCTGCTCTTTCTCCCTACATCTATTTTCTTATTTATTTTTTATTAAGTTATTTTTAATTCCAATATAGTTAACATGCAATGTTATATTTGTCTCAGTTATAGAAAATAGTAATTCCAAAAATCTATACATCACCCTGTGTTCGTCATGGCAAGTACCCTCCTTAATCCCCATCACCTATTTCACCCATCCCACCACCTGCCTTCCCTCTATCACTTTGTTTTCTATAGTCTATTTCTTAGTTTGTCTCTCTCTTTTTCTCCTTTACTCATTTATTCCTTAAATTTCACATGAGTGAAATCATATGGTATTTATCTTTCTCTAACTTATTTCAGTTAGCATTATACACTATAGCTCCATCTATGTCATTGAAAATATCAAGGTTTCATTCTTTTTTATTATCATGTGTGTTTGCGTGTGTGTGTGTGTGTGACACATGCACACACCAGATATTTTTTATACATTCATCAGTTGATGCACACTTGAGCAGTTGACATATCTTGGCTGTTGTGAATAATGCTGCCATAAACAGGGCTGCATGTATCCCTTTAAATTAGTGTTCTTGTATTCTTTGGGTAAATACCCAGTAGTGGGATTACTGGATCATAGGGTAGTTCTATTTTTAACTTTTTGAGAAACCTCCATACTATTTTCCACAGTGGCTGCACTGGTTTGAATTTCCATCAACAGTCCCTTCAGCCATTTTCAATACAGTAGACAGAGAGATTCTGTTGAAACAGAGGTCAGATCTTGCCAGTCCTCCATTCAAAAATCCTCCAATCGTTCCCTATCTCACACAGTGTAAAAGTCAAAGTCCTTACCTTGTCTTACAAGGGTCTATATTTGACTTTGCTAATTGATCTCATCTCCTTCCTTCTCTTTCTTGCTCACTCTGTTCCCAGCCACACTGATCTTTCTAGAAAATACCAAAAGTTTTTCTGCTTCAGAGCATTTGTATACACTATTTCTTCTCTCCCTTTCCTCCTCAAAATATTATATGCAGGGCCCACACCTTCATTTCATCAAGTCTCTTCACAAATATTACCTTATTAGTGGGACCTTCCCTGATCACTTTACAGCATACACCATCACCTTCTCTCCCTTTTACACTGCTATATTTCTCTCCTTAACACTTACTACCACCAATGTTGTTTATTGCCCATCTTTTTACAGTGTAAGTTAAACTCTTTGAGGGCATTAAGAAATATGTATTGAGAGTCTACTATGGGATCACCTGGGTGACTCAGTTGAGTGTCCAACTTTGGCTCAGGTCATGATCTTGCGGTTTGTGAGTTTGAGCCCCGTGTCAGGCTCTGTGCTGACAGCTCAGAGCCTAGAGCCTGCTTTAGATTGTGTGTCTCCCTCTCTCTCTCTGCCCAGACCCTGCTCGCACTCTGTCTCTCTCTCAAAAATAAATAAACATTAAAGAAAAACTTAGAAAAAAAGGGTTTACTATGTACCAGGTCCTTTCCTAAGCCATGGGGATATAAAAGTGAACAAAACAGATAATACCACTATCCTTCCGGCATTTCAAATCTAGAATTATATAAGGTGCTATATTTTCTCAGGAAATATTTGATAAATGCATTGAATAAATATAGCATTCACTCAATAGAGTAATAGGAATGGTTCAAAAGTAAAGTATGTTTGGATTGGTTCCCCACTCTACAAGTAATTAGATCACCCACCCCATGTAAAGAAATGGTTCTGTAGCTTCCCAGGTAAAAGGCTAGAAATTTATTCAAATCCCACGACCTCCAGACATTCTATATTCCTGACTCTAAGGGCTCTTGGATTCCTCCTAGGTATACTTTTTAAAGAAAAAAATATCTGGTATTGTATGAGAAATATGGCATCAACAAAAAGGGACTGGAATCTAGTGACTATCAGACCAGGAGGAAATGAGATAAGGAGTGATAAAAATTAATAATAGAAGTTTCAGCCTTGTCTAGAGACAAAAATACTTTGTATCAAAACAGAATAAACACTGTAAAGAACAAGCAGAGATGCTGGTAGCTAGATCCAGATAAAGTGGTTTGGGAGAGAGGAGGAAGTGGCCTTCTTTAAGAGAAAACTTAGTAGGCCAGATGAAGAGGTAAGTTTTAGAATCTATTAGACTTCCCACTTGGAGAAGGGAAGAATATGCCCACTGCATAAGGTGATATTGCTCTTACAACCTCTTCCTTCTCCTCCTTAACAACCAGGGAATATGAAAGATTTAGTGGTTCTAGAAGTAGCCTCAGGAGGAGTCAAAGATAGAAAAACCTACATACATCAAAGGGGTGAGATCATTAGGAGAGGAAAGGAACAATAATTCTCAGTTTGCAGCTTCCACATAGCCTTCTGAAGACTTCCAGGAAATTGGCTGTAAGCAGTGTGTGAAAAATGGGTGCCTTTTACTTCATGGACTGCATTTCCTAGGCTTGAACTTAGTCATCAATAATTATGCAAAATGTCTGCTCTTGAGAATGGCCCCACTGGTCCAGTTCTCCATTTGAGGGCTCAATAATGCTGCCACTTCCAGAGACTAGAATGTCCCACTTATCTAATTTTTCTGACTCTCCTGTTTAATTACAGAGTCCTTGTTCTGAGTCCTTTTCAGACTTCATTTAGTTCTACTTCTTGTTCCTACTGACAAATTCCTGGCTCCATTTCTTCAATAGTTCATGCCTTCTGGAATTGCTTCCATCATTGGCCCTTACTCACACTGACAAATGTCAGCTCAAAAATCTCATTTTAATCTTTATATAGTCATATTGTTTTGTAACACCCCCCCTCCCCCACCGGCATATATCTTTGGCAGATGTAGACAGACACATGCTGTCTTTAAATCCAGATGGTTTTGCAGCAGTCCAGAGCTCTGCATTCTACAAATTCCTGTGACGAAGAGGTACATTCTGTCATTTGACAGAGTGATGTTGAAACAGAGCAATTCAATGACCCTGCGTAGGAGCTAGTGCAACATTTTGTTATGCCCCACAAAATGTATTGCTAGTTAACTCAAATCTGTTGTAACTCAAATCTGTTGTAACTCAAATCACTAAGAAGGGTTTTAATGGCACATCATAACCTAGCTGAAGGGGAAATCAATATCATCAACTTACACTAAAACACCAACAATTTGCCAGACACTAGGCTAGAGTCTCGAGTTATACAAAGAGAAATGAACCCCTGCCCTCAAGGAGTTTACAGATGAGTTCTAAAAGCTCTAGTTCATGTTTGAGCATGGTAGCTGATAGCAACATTGACATAATGACCATTGGAATTAACATATCATGTAAGTGCCACCGTGACATTCTGTCAATTGGAAGAATAGGATTGAATACTCTTGGTGGCCTTAGTAGATATGGGGTGTCTCCAGGAGAGATGAGGTCCTTATGGAGGGTGATCATGAGAGATATAAATGCTACCATGGCTCTCACATATACTGTGAAATGACTGAAAATATCTGGGATTGGAAGAAAGAGGATCCTTATAAAATCAGCTTTATATCAAGTTTATCGACTGATTCATATATGAGGCTGGAAAAAAATCTTCTGTGACCCAGATAGACTTACCATCTGCTCCTTCACTGCTTTTGCTTCTTTTATTACGGCGAACACGCCTGCTTTCCTCTTCAGAGTATGATTTTTCTTCAGGAAAGAAGAAATTCAGAAGGGCCACCTACAAAAAAAAAAAAAAAAAGTAAATGAGTAAAAGGTTGACTCTAGTCAACCACAGCCAACATAAAAAACTGGCTTTCTGTAGACAGTCTACCTTCACCTTAAATTCACTGTGTCTAAAGCTTGAGCCCATCTTCTCCACTATATAAATCCTTTTACTTTTGATGCATTATGCCAATCATTCCAACTATGAAATTTTGGTTAATCTCTGAATCCCCTCTCTACAAATACCTAATAAGTGATCCTTCAAGTCCCATTCTCCACATATTTCTAGGGTTTAGAGAGCCCAGTCACAAATTTCTAACTTCTCTCACATATTATACTGATGTCTGTCCAGAATTAGACTTAAGTTTGCTCCCCCCTCTTGGACTTCAATATTATCCATCCATGACATTTCCACATTCCTATTTGTGACGAACTTTTGGTTTGTTCCTAGAATGCTGTGCATCCAATTATGATTGGATAGTATGAGTTATGTCCACATTCTTCTGGGATTTAGTCATGACAAAGCACACAATTATTCTGTCCCTTTCCAAGGCTCCTACAGGACTCCTACAGCACTCGTGGTCTATAAGACTCATTTGGGTACTTAGTCCTCTACTGCCTTATGATGATCTTTCATAATAATACAATGTTTCATATGTGAATGGGCCCGGTTTCACTAACAATAATCATAGCTTAAATATATACTTGTTTAAGTCAATCATAATCTTTCAACATGGGCCTGGTTTCACTAACAATAATCATAGCTTAAATATATACTTGTTTAAGTCAATCATAATCTTTTAACATGAATGCTTCTTTGCGGTTAAAAAAATGTGATTGAGGTAAACCATGGACAGAGTAGTAGGTTTCAGAGTGATTCGAATCCTGACTCTGCCATTTATAGCTGTGTAATCTTGGGCAAGTTACTTAAATTTTAATTTTCTCATCTGTAAATTGGGATAATAATAGTACTTTGCTCATAAAGTAGTTGTAGGGTTAGTACAGTACCCAGCATTTAATATACATTCAATAAATGCTAGTTATTACTATTATTAAAATTAATCTTCACAATACACTGATTATTTTGAGAGTTAAAAAAGAAGAAACAAATCTGCATTTTCACCCTATTATCAGTTCAAAAAAGAATTAAAAAATCCTCATATCTGTTGCATCTCTGATTAACTGGAAAAAGAATGGGTAAGACTTAAAAAGGCCCTAACATTCCACACAAACTTTTTTCAAAATCCTGTGGTTTACTGTTTACATAGAACAATTACATCAAACAGCCTTACCACACATAGTTCGTGTCTTGAAGAATATATTCATGTATTAAATATAAAATTAATAAATGAATATATAATTTCCAAATTGCCATTGGGTTGTATTTAAAAATATTTAGGTTGAACTATTTGAAACTGCCATTGTTTTGTATCCAAAATGCTTGAATATCAGCAATTTCACACAGTTCAACTGAGCAGTATTCTTAAATCACTTAATTGGAATTTAAAATGGATTTTCCCATAGAATAAACATAATAAAGTCTGGCTAGGTTTCCAGAAAGCCCATAGACAGTTAACTGACAATTTAAATAAGCTATCACACAACTAATAATATAAACCCAAACTGCTATTTACAATGAAATCTCAATCATTTCCAACTCTAGAAGAACAAGTGATTCTGGATAGAAGATTTTTCTTGATAACTTTGTTGAAATTTCAGCTATTTGGATAGAAATTAGTCTACAATCTATGATTTAACTGAGGGTTTACTGAAAATGTAGTAGACTGTAAATGGGCCCAGTCCACTATGGATTTAAGTTAAAAAAACATTACACCCATTTAGCCCATCCCCCCACCTCCTCTCTAGCAACCCCCAATTTGTTTTCTGTATTTAAGACCCTCTTATGGTTTCCCTCCCTGTTTTTATCTTATTTTTCCTCCCCTTCCCTTATGTTCATCTGTTGTATTTCCTTCACACCTGTCAGAATGGCTAAAATAAACAACTCAGGAAACAACAAATGTTGATGAGGATACGGAGAAAGGGGAACACTTTTGCACTGCTGGTGGGAATACAAACTGGTGCAGCCACTGTGGAAAACAGTATAGAGATTCCTCAAAAAATTAAAAATATAGGTAGCCTATGACCCAGAAATTGCACCACTAAGTATTTATACAAAGGATACAAAAATGCTGATTCAAAGGGACCCATACAACCCAATGTTTATAGCAGCGCTATCAACAATAGCCAAATTATGGTAAAAGCCCAAATGTCCACTGACTGATGAATGGATAAAGAAGATATGGTGTGTGTGTGTGTGTGTGTGTGTGTGTGTGTGTGTGTATTAGAATATTACTTGGCAGTCAAAAAGAACGAAATCTTGCTATTTGCAACAACTTGGATAGAACTAGAACATATTATGCTAAGTGAAATAAGTCACTCAGAGAAAGATAGATAGCATGTGACTTCACCCATTTGTGAAATATAAGAAACAAAATTGATGGGGGCACCTAGGTGGCTCCATTGGTTAAGTGACTGACTTCAGCTCAGGTCATGATCTCATGGTTCATGGGTTTGAGCCCCACATTGGGGTCTCTGCTGTCAGCAAGATGCTGGCTTCAGATCCTCTGTCTCCCTCCCTCTTCCTCTCCCCCACCACACCCTCTCACTCTCTCTCAAAAATAAACATTAAAAAAATTATAAACAAAACAGATGAACATAGGGGAAGGGAAGGAAAAATGAGATAAAAACATACAGGGAGGCAAAGCATAAGAGACTGTTAGATACAGAGAACAAACTGAGGGTTGCTGGAGGGGTGTTGGGTGGGGGGACTGGCTAAATAGATGATGGGCATTAAGGATGGCACTTGTAGGGCTGAGTACTAGGTGCTATATGTAAGTGATGAATTGCTAAATTCTACTCCTGAAACCAATATTACACTATATATTAACTTGGATTTAAATTAAAAATAAAATAAAATTTAAGGGGCGCCTGGGTGGCGCAGTCGGTTAAG